GTTGAAAATTGAAAAAACTTTTCGTGAAAGAAACATAGGTGGTATTTCATAATATAAAAAACTTTACCATGACATCGAGGCTCTTGAGTACTTGCTTCATGCCGTACTTGTATCGATGTGAGGCGTTAGGGCCATTCAGCTAAAAAACAACACAGCAATTCAAGAATTCAGCTCAGAAGTCAGACATCAAACATATTATACAATAAATGCATCAATATACTAACTAAATTTGTTTATAGGTGATTTCATTGATAACTTAGTCATTCGAAATCGAACAGTTAGTGGGAAAAAAAAACATTAAAAAAATTACCACCACTAAAGAACTGTCTAAAATTACTGCATTCAACTAATTTGAGAATACTGAATCCTTTTAAAATTTACAAAGAAATGTATGGAACGTTTTAAACAACTCAAACACACCTTACATTTCTTTGTAAAATTTTGTGTATTTGAGAAGTTGTATCTTCTCGAATTTTCAATTGCTGATGACTTCGTAGTCAAAAACGTCCAATCTCTCTTTTTATACATATTGTAAATAATTTATAGCTTTAATTTTATTGTATATTTTTTGTACAACATATTATTTCCAACTGATTATTTTCAAACTTGGTAAATTTGCTAAAATTAGGCTGTACTTTTTAGCGGCGTTAATAATTTTTATTAAGTAACAATGCGCTTAAGAACTAGGGAACTCTCTATTGTTCTGCGGCATTGCAACTTCCCCATGTACAAATGTCTTGGTTTTCACAATGATTATGTATCAACCTGTGGGTAACACATTTTTGAAATCAAATATGGATATAATCTGTTTTGAAACAAAGTTTCTTTTGTATTAGAAGCTCTTATCCAATCATAAGCACTCAAAACAATAGCCAAAAGATGCTACTAATTTGCAATGTTCCCCACATAGAATTGCCTTAATATTGAAGCTAAAGAATGCTTTCATGAAAGCGAAAACAGACATTAAATAAAATATTAAAAAATGCATTAACTTGTGAAATTAGATTTTCATGTTTTAACCAATGGGATGGATGGATTATACAATACATAATCAGCACCTTCTTGCGTTCCTTTGCCGTTTGCTTCCCTAGTTCTTACTCGGGGCATTACTTAACTGCTCAAATTTGAATGCCTAAGTTATAGAAGTAAAAAGTCACTGGACCGAGGCCTCTTACCTGGAATACTTTATCGTTAGTGGCGATCAACAGCACACTATCAGAATAGATTTTCGACCACTTCATGTCTACTTCTACCAAAGAGAACGTGTTGGGATTGTTTTTCTGGTAAAATAAGAAGTAAAAATAAATCATTGCGTCATCTTTTTGATTGACAGATTGACTTGATGGTTTATAAAGTTTGGAGTCGTTTTCATATGAAAATAAGGTAGTTTTTTTGTAATTGTAAACAAGAAAAGAAAACAACAGATTCAGAGTGTGAAACCAACTGTGTAGTTCCTGTGCACTTTCTAAGCAAATTACTCAGGGGGGGGAGGGGTTGACTCATATATGGAAGGGTAGGGATGATCGTTGTATCTTTTGGGTTAAAAAATCAGGTATTTAGTATCTTTTAGGGTGTTTCAAAGGTTTTCGAACCACCCCCGGATAATCTGTTCTCCTTTAGATAA